TTTTTGTTTCTGTTTTTGTTTTTTTTTTTGTAAGTTCCTTTGTAAAAATCGAAGGACTGGACGACTGCTTACTTCGAGCAATTCAAAAGTTTGGGGATAAAGCCCGTCCACCCGGCCCAGTGTACTGTGCTGAAAAAAATCACAACTCCTTGCAAACTATTTAAAAAATAGCAAATGTTTACCTCTGTACCAAACTTGTGGGGTGCACCTTTCCTCGCACGCTCACAACTCGCCAAATCCTTGATTAATTCCTTTCCAGTGTTACGACGCGTCCTATTTCTGTGTTCTCTCGATAAAAACCTATTTCGCAATCACTCCTGTCCCCGATTACAATTTTTACGAATCTCGTGATCCTAGCTGTCAACTTTAATATAAAACGTCACGCTGTCACGACACTTCCGTTTACCTCGCTTGCAGCTACCAAAGAGCAAGATGGGCAAAAGGTCGTCCTATAGTATCTATTTAATTGGTAGAAATAAAAAAGAGGGGACAACCCTTCCATCACCTCACTTGCCATGCTACAGTGCACCAGCACATGAGGACCGCGGGTGTTTCCCATTATAACTATGCCAAAGATTCCTGAAATTTCGGTCGGAAGTCAAATGGAAAGTTCTTCCGACCGGAATATTCGGGATCACTTCTGGAGGTGGTCCACTTATTTCGGTCGACCGAAATTTGCTGTTTCATTTCTGACAAACTGCCCTACTTCTCTTCACTTATGTAGGGAATTCGGAAAAGAAATTAAAGATGGTAAGAGTCTGATTCCTCTTGGTTGGCCCGGTTTGATCGCAAATGTCGTTCCATTTTCCTCGGGTATTGGCATAATAATAATAAGCACCCCGCATGTAATAAATACCGTATTAGGGCATTATGCCCGTTTTTGGATTTTTTGGTGGGAATCTTTCAGGGCTCGCGCGGCTCGCGGCTCGGGCTCGCAGGCTTGTCAATGAATAGCCTCCCCCAGGATCACCAACAATTTTATGAATGCTTTCAACGGTGTTACATCTCATCGTGTACTCTATTACTGTTACGTTTTGCCTTTGGGCTTTAACTTTAACTTAACCTCTGGATTAAAACCTGAAGTCAGTGGCATCAAAGTTGTCACTATTTACAGACGATCTATTTCCCAAGTTGAGTGGCTCACAGCAACTTTGATTTTAAGAGCCAGGGATATTTGTGTACGCGTAAAGATAACCTGGACTCATTCCAAATTATGGCCGACCATTTTGGAATGAAATAAGTAAACAAAAAACTAAAACAAAAGGAATTCAGCTTTCCTATTAAATTAACTTCTCATGCATTAGAAGTTCGTCCTGTCTCTAATCAGGACCGTATCAGTTGCATTATACTTTCAAACAGATTGTAATTGCCGATTTTTCTGGCTTAAAGGAAAGCATTTTTATTTCAACATTATATTGAGGTATATATATCAAGCATCACTTTATTTCCAAACTTTGTAGTCAATGCTTTTTGCATGTACCTAAGAGTCCAAGGACTGTAGTTGGTTGAGTAAACAGCAGCAACAGACCCCTGAAAGGTCCGGCTGCTATATCCCGTGCGGAAAGAAGTCAGCATGACTGACAAAAGCTCGAAACACCGAACTAAAAAGTTGTGTTTCTGTGTTTCTCCGTTTTGCGTTCATTAAAGATTCTTGCAGTCAGCAACAGAGGTTAATTCCTAGACGATCGATTGCATCAGCACTTTCCCCTCGAACCAGTTTAGAACATGTTCAGTGTCGTTGTCATTCTTGACCTGATCTTGTTTGGTGCAGGAAAATATCTAAAAAAGTTCTCGATCCCTGTTATGAATACAAAACTTTGCAGCACAGAAACTAGATAGCAGAACGGATTCATTTCAGCTCAGTGTTGAGTGAAAGTGTTACCACTGGTAACAACACCGGAAAACTAAATATTGATTGAAAGACATGAAGTTCTGAGCCTTGCACGCAACGATGGTTCTTGTAATGAAATGTCTCACTTCTTGTCTAGAAATATCATGAAATGTCGAGTTTTACAGCAATTGAAAATGAGTAAATATAGTCAGTTTCGTCGCCTTTAATAGAAAGTTTATGAAAATTTCTTTTACATTTGTAGTAATTTCCGACTGCAATTTTCAAATTGCGTTGGAAAAAGTTTCATGAAGAATACACGGGTCTATGTTAATGCGAATGGAATCAAAGCTATTCCTTGTAAGCCCTCAAATACTGAATACCAATTTATCTTTGTACGCCGAGTTCATAGCATCAAAAACACAAACATTTCCCGGAAATTTCTTGCAATGCAAATTATAAAAGAATCACTTGGCTTGCAAAGGATTGCTAGCCATGGCAAATTTTCTGTTGTTATCGACCAGAATAGGAATTTAGTCGCTGAAAAATATATTTTAGAGTGGAAATTAAACAACTGAGAAATTAAAAAGAAACTGCAAGAAATATTAAACTTCGTATAGAGGTCTAAAAATCCCCTGATATCGGATGCATTTTGTCTCTTTTTTTTTTCTCCAAATAAGATTAAGATTACAATTTTGCAAAAGAACGTTGAAATCTTTCAAAGAAGTGGGTTAACCATACATGTGGGTACGAAACTTGCGCCGAGTTATTTCAGCTGCGGCTGTTGATCGAAAGACCTTTCCACGGCTTTTTCAGCTTTTGAAATAGGCCCATGTCACGAAATTCCGTCGACATCGCTCGAAAGAGCACCTAAAATTTAGCAAAATACCTAAGTTTGGGAGTCTTATCTTTTAAGATCGCAACACTATAGCTTCGCAGAGTCGGGAACATTACACACGCTGGTTAAATATGCAGCATATAAATACGTCAGTAATTGATTTTCCGACTTTGTAGAACCATATTTTCGCCATTTTGCAAGATGCGAGTCTAAAACTTGGCCAGTAGTACTAATTTTTAGGTGCCCTTTCTACCAGTGTCGATAGATTTTCCCTTTATATGGTCAAAATCGAAAGTTCAGAAAAAACCGAGTAAAGGTCTATTCTTTAAAAGGAAAATCAAGCTACATCGAGTCTTAAGGCAAAACAAACGTGAAGAGCTGAACTGCACCTTTAACAGAACAGCTTTAAATCCATTTTTTCCGTAGCTTAACGAGCTTCTATTCTGATTTATTTTCAAAGCGGCTCACGGACGTTCTTCTCCTATGTTAAGGTGACAGGAGATATTTTAAAGCCTTTGAGAGTTGGCAATGCTCCATTAATTATTCTGTCTAGAATTCTGTTTATTCCTGCCACCGGTCAGCCCACTCCGTTGCACTAGTTTGATGCTAAACGTTTAACTTTCAAACCGGCTGGCATTCAATTCAGAATCTTTGAATGGCGTTCGTATAAAGCGAAGAAAGCATTTTAATCGTTTTATATACTCCACAAACATCAAAATAAAAAACAAAACAAACGCGAACCTCAGCATTATTTTAATGGACTCTCACCGGTTTCTACCGCTACAACACAACTTCCAAGCCTTTTCTTAACAGATTTGAGGCTTTCAGCGTACACGTAGCTCATTGGCAGTGTTCTTTCTACGTTGTTTCGAGGACTGATGCGGTTGTCTCGAACTACAAGTACCATTATCTCCTGTTGTTGTAATTTCAGTATCGCATAGTCGGTATTGCTCGAGTGAACGCAATTTAGCCATGAGCTGTATGGCACAAAACCTCATGTCTTTGACTTGAAATAAAGACAAAACTGTTCACTCTAAATACTACTCAACTTACCTTTTTAAGCTGGAACGAAAGCTTCTAAATACGTTTTTAGCCCACTTTACCCACGAATTCAGTGGCTTTAGTGCGAAATGCGAACAAGAGTGGACAGAGCCTTTCCAAGAACTGTCACAGATTCCGTGAAATTCCTGATATTAGTTCCGGAGGATAGTTTTCCGAGAAACTGGGTGATTTGCTTAAAAATAACAACTAAACGTTTTTTAGAGTTTTTGACGTAATAAAAGCAGTTCCCTGAATTTTAATCATCAAAGGGTGCAATAAAGCAAGGTTAAGAAAACGAAAACAAACAACAAAAATACAGAGTTGATTATTTGTCTTCAAAGCAGTGCCGTAGCAGGGTTAAATTTATTGGGGAGGGGGGAGGGGCACATCATGAGTCCCAAAGGCGTAAGTTTCTGAGGGGCTCCGGGGCATGCTCCCCCGGGAGATTTTGAAATACACTTTCTCTGAAATACCGTTTCCAGCCATCCGAGAGTATTTTCCAGCAATTTTTAACTGATTAAAACCATTGATCGGACATGTTATTTCAACGTCGTACCTTTCTTATTGCACAGGTTTATTAAACGAATTGAAGTGCAACTTTTAAATGTTGTGTGATGAATTAACCACTTATTACCTACTACACAGTCCCCACAGACTATAAGATTTCTTTGCCTAATTCGAATGTTATCTTAGGTGTTATTGTTGGAGGTATCTAAATCTTCACCACAGACTTTCAATACTTCAGCCAGTTCAGCGTCATCAGTATACAATTCGTTGACAGTGGCTTTCAAAAAGAGCTCCTGGGGTTCAGATACACTTTATTAAAGTCCTTCTAGTCAAATCTTGATGTGACAGCATTTGTTGCAAAAATCAGCGGGTTCAAAATAGATTTTCCACTAGAGCTCCTTAACGGTTTGAGGAAAATGATGAGTTTACTGTTGTCAACTCTCGAATCTTTTCGCTGGTTAAATGTACAGCATATAAATACGTCAGTAATTGATTTTCCGACTTTGTAGAACCATATTTTCGCTATTTTACAAGATGCGACTCTAAAACTTGGCCATTAGTACTAATTTTTAGGTGCTGTTCTACCAGTGTCGACAGATTTTCCCTATATATGGTCAAAATCGAAAGTTCAGAAAAAACCGAGTAAAGGTCTGTTCTTTAAATGGAAAATCAAGCTGCATCGAGTCTTAAGGCAAAACAAACGTGAAGAGCTGAACTGCATGTTTAATAGAACAGCTTTAAATCGGTCAGTGTAAAACGTACACTGCAGACTGCAGACTGCAGACCGGGGGTAAAATGCAGACTGAGGGTAAAATGCAGACTGCAGACTGCAGACCAGGGATAAAATGCAGACTGAGGGTAAAATATTAATAAAAAAACACGAGGATCAAATCTGGATCAAATGAAGACTTGGGAGTGTTCGTACGCGTACCCGTAATTGTTTTTTCCAAAATCCCGAAAACGCAAACCAAAAGGCGTTTCCTAGCCTTAGGGCCTGATTACATGGCGAATTTCAGCCCGGCTAGGGGGGCTGAAATTTTGTTGCGATTACATAAC